TCCCACCCTGCCTCTGTGGCAAGGCATTCCCTTTTGTTCTCTCTCTCCTTTTGGGTGCTGTGATTTGCAAAAGAGGCAATGAGTGGCAATCATGTTTGGTCTATAGTCTTACTTTCAGCATGCTTCTCCCATCCTGGGAGGATCCTCCCAGCACCCTTTATTTGGTGCTCCCTTCTCAATCTGAGCTCGCTTACCCCCTAGAATGTGTGGCTGGCCTCCAAGCCATGGAGCAAAATTCCTGGTACTAATCTCGGCCATTCTTGGGTGTTAGTCTCCTATTTTGTTACTTTATGTTCCCCAGATGAATGCAGTCTTTCTATGTCTATCCCTCTCTTTCTGACTCATTTCTCTTAACATGATACTTTCCATGTAGTACCACTTGTGTGTAAATTTCATGACTTCATCTTTTTCTAACAGCTACATAGTACTCTGTGTAAATGTACCAAAGTTTTTTCTAACCAGTCATCAGGCACTCAGGTTTTTTCCAGATTCTGACTATTGTAAAGAGTGCTGCAATGAACAAACAAGTGCAGATGTCTCTTCGATTATACTTTTTTGCCTCCCTGGGATATATTCCCAGGAGTGGTATTGCTGGGTCAAATGGGAGCTCAATTTCTAATTTTTTGAGAATCGTCCATACTGTTTTCCAAAAGGGCTGAACCAGTCGGCATTCCCACCAGCAGTGAAGGAGGGAAGTGCTCGCCACATCCATGCCAGCACTGGTTGCTTTTGTTCTTGTGGATGTGGGCCAGTCTCTGTGGTGTGAAATGATATCTCATTGTGGTTTTGATCTGCAGCTCCCTGATGATTAATGATGTGGAGCATTTTCTCATGTGCCTTTTAGCCTTTCGGATTTCTTCTTTGAGAAAGTTTCTATTCATTTCACCTCCCCATTTTTTGATGGGGTTGGATGTTTTCTTCTTTTGGAGTTCAACCAGTACTTTGTATATCCTTGTTATCAACCCCTTGTCGGATGTGTATTCAGTGAATATCCTTTCCTATTCTGTAGACTGTCTTTGTATTTTGGTCACTGTTTCTTTTGAGGTGCGGAAGCTTCTTAGTTTAAGATAGTCCCATTTGTCTGTTTTCACTTGCTTGGCTAGTGGTGTGACATCTTTGAAGATACCATTAGCTTCAATGTCGTGGTGGGTTTTGCCAACTTTTTCTTCAATGTACCTTATGGATTTCGGTCTGATATTGAGGTCTTTAATCCACTTATATCTTATTTTTGTACATGGCATTAGGCAGAGATCTGAGCCCACTTTTTTGCATGTAGCCGTCCAGTTTTGCCAGCACAATTTGTTAAAGAGGCTTTCCTTGCTCCACTTCACTTTTCTTGCCCCCTTATCAAAGATTAGATGATCATATGCTTGGGGAGAGATGTCAGTATATTCAGCCCTGTTCCATTGGTCTACAGCTCTGCCTTTGTTCCAGTACCATGCTGTTTTAATAATTACTGCTTTGTAGTAGAGTTTGAAGTTAGGGGGGTTGATTCCTCCCATTTTCTTTTTCCCAAGAATTGCTTTAGCTATTCGTGGGGGCTTATTATTCCATATAAATTTCAGGAGTGTTTGCTCCATTTCTTTGAAGAATGTCATGGGTATCCCTATAGGGGATTTTGTACAGTGCTTTGGGAAGTATTGCCATTTTGACAATGTTAATTCTCCCCATCCATGAGCAGGGGATATTTTTCCATTTCCTCGTGGCCTCTTTTATTTCCTGAAGTAACATTTTGTAGTTTTCTTTGTACCAGTCCTTTACTTCCTTAGTTAAGGTGATTCCTAGGTACTTGATTTTCTGGGGCACAATTGTGAATGGGACTGTTTTCTTCATGTCACTTTCTTCTCTTTCACTATTTGTGTATAGGAAAGCCATGAATTTTTGGCTATTGATTTTATAGTCTGCCACTTTACTATAGAAGTCTATCATTTTCAGGAGTTTCTTGATAGAAGTTTTAGGGTTCTCTAAGTGTAGTATCATATCATCTGCTAATAGTGAGAGCTTGATTTCTTTCTTTCCTACCTGGATGCCCTTTTTCTTGCCTAATCACTATTGCAAGTACTTTCAGTACTATATTGAACAGCAGTGTAAAGAGTAGACATCCTTTTATCGTCCCTGATCTTAGAGGGAAGGCTCTCAGTTTTTTCGGGTTCTCTTTTTAATGAGAAAATTACTATTAAGTCTCTCCTACCAAATAGCATGTAACATCTGGATTTACTTTTACTATTTTTTTAACGGTGTTAATGCCTGCCTTTGTTCCTTAACTCCTCTATCTCTTACATTCTTGCCACAAATTATAGGGCTACTCTAAGTGCCAGTGGTTTTTCTGGATAATGAATCTTGTGTCCCTTCTAGTGATTGCTATTTCAAATCAGAATTTGCTCAAGGACAGCACAGGGAAGCATGGAGCATGTGAAGAAAGGCCCATGAGCCACTGTAAGACCCTGAAAGAAATTCCTTTCTACTGGACACCCTCACCCTGGAATAAGTGAAAAGGCAACTTCCTCTTTCCTTAGCATTCCTCCCCTCTCCCCACTACCCACCTATTTCTAGGAGTCAGAGGTTTTTTTCTCTAAGAGGCTAACTTTAGGATGCCACTTTGAAGCCTTAAAGTCTGTACTGACTTCATTATATGGCTTTGCTTTTTTTTTTGAGCTGTTTTTAATAAACTTTTTAATAAACTTAAATATTAAGATTCTATTACATTAGTACTTCTCAAATTCCAAAATATTTAATGTACAATTGTGAGCATTAAAATCATTGTATTTTAAGATTTTGAGGGGGGCTATGAGGAAGACTTAAGGCAGTCTAATTTCCATAGTCATGTTAGTAGGAATAGGATCTATATCCTATAAATTACCTTGTATTTGTTATCTACCTAATAGGTATTAGCCAGGCATTTTTATCAGCTTTAAAATGCTTTCTTCACTCAAAGCTATTGTGTCTCCCATGTCTAACACTATGTATTGTTCAAATGTCCTGAATTGGTCTTTTTATCATCCCAAGTTTTGATTTTATTATTTACTAACTGGTACTGATGTTTGAGTTTACAAAGGGAGAAATGGGGCTTGGAGCGATAGCACAGCTGATAGGGTGTTTGCCTTGTAAGCGGCCAACCCAGGTTCAATTTCCAAGCATCCCATGTGGTCCCCCAAGTACCACTGGGAGTGATTCCTGAGTGCATGAGCCAGGAGTAACCCCTGTGCATTGGTGGGTGTGACCCAAAAAGCATTAAATAAATAAACAAATAAATGAATAAATGAAAAATGACCTGCCTGTGTTTTAAGTTTTTATTTTTGGGGCGTGGAGGGCAGTTTGGACCACACTTGCTCGGGGATCACTCCAGGCCATGGCTGAGGACCAGGGATTGAAGCCAGTCAGTGGTATGCAGGGCAAGTGACTTCTGTGCTAAACTCTATCTCTGATCCAAAGGGAGAAATAATTAGCTATAACTTATAAAATCTACTATTGCATAAAAATAATCAAATTAACACAAATATTTTCACCTATTTCCTTTTTCTTAAGATATGTAAAGCTCATGACACACAAAAATACTCCTGATACCGTCATTAGTGTAGAAAATTTAATGAAACTTTTTTATATCATTTACTGTCATATCTGTGGGATATTACTTGGATAATTAAATTTCTTGGTAGTTGTCATTTCTGAATACTATGATATATATATATATGTTATAGTACTATGACACATAATTTTTTTAGTGTTTTAGCTATAATAAATTTAATACTTTCACTGTGAAGCAATAAATATGCCTGTAACTTTATATCTGCCAAAAGTGCTCAGTGGAATGGATGTTTACTTTGCAATGGAATGATTGTATACTTTGCAGGGTCCTAACCCCACATGGTCCCCTGAACATTACTAGGAATGAACCCTGAGCACTGATGGTATGGTACCAATACCAAAAATAAGAAATTTGTATATGACAACTATTTTCAACTCACTGTCACTGTCACTGCCCTCCCATTGTTCATCAATCTGCTCGAGCGGGCGCAGCAACATTGTGAAACTTCTTACTGTGTTTGGCATATCGAATATGTCATGGGTAGCTTGCCAGGCTTTGCTGTGCGGATGAGATACCCTTGGCAGCTTGCCAGGCTCTCCAAGAGGGGCAGAGGAATCGAACTCGGGTCGGCCATGTTGGCTGCGTGCAAGGCAAACTCCCTACCTGCTGTGCTATCGCTCCAGCCCATTTTCAACTCAAGTAATTATTCTTCTTTTCAGAAAAACTTGTGTTAACTCTACTTATTGTATTCTTATTTATTTTGGAAAGTAAAATCAATGGAAATTCTTTATATTTGAAGGCATGTATTATGATTTGACTTACTGTAGTCTTTATAAATGAAGCCTCAAAAATATTAAGTCTAAATTATGTGGAATCTATAACTACCAAGTAAGCACTCTGACTGTATAAGAAATCATGATTCCTAATGGGAGAATAATGAATTCCCAAAGCCAGTGGAAACAAGGAATATGAGAACTGGCATCCAGAAGGAAAATGTCACCAGAGAGTTCTGGAGAATAGGACAGGGAGGGGGCAAAGACTATGGTGGAGGGAAGGGATCAATCGGGGAGGAGATGGTGCTGAAAGGTGCTAAAGTGTTATCAACCACAGTTCTGTAAACCACAGTGAACAAACAAACATTTAAAAAAGTGTCCCTCATAGATGCAGACTGGTGGGTAGGAGGCAGGTGAAGGGGGCAACATTGAGGGAGGGAAGTGGGCACTGGTGAATGGACTGGTGTTAAACTATTGTATGCCTGAAACCCAGTCATGAATAACTTTGTAATCTCACTGTGACTAACTGAAAAAAATTTTTTTAAATAAATAAAGGGGGGGTATAATTTGATGTCATGAAGTAAATGAAATCAAGAGGGCACAGAATAATACATGGCAGCAGAAAAAACAAAGACATTTGAAATAACATTTCAAGAAAACAGTTTTCAAATAATGACTCCCATAAGGGTTAAGGTAGTAAATGAAGTAAAAATAGACAAAACAGTGGTTTAATTTTATTCACATACAGTTGCCATTGAAAGGTTAACTCATTTATAAAAACACATTTGTTCTGCTAACATCCTTTGCTTCTTATGACTTCTTACATATAAATTCCCACCATAGAGCAGAAATGTTAGAAGTTATGTTACAAATGAAGCAAACATTTAAGTAATTTTAAAAACCTTTCAAGTATGGCTTATGAACAGCAGGTCACCTTTCAATATGTGATATATTAACATATTTATGGTACCATTTGGGGCAGATTTCCTTGATATTAAAGATGGAATTGGTATTTTTTTTTTGTCAAGAAGGGTTTAGACATATATTAGAGGAAGTTCCTATACTGTATGGTATCTTAAGAATATCACCTGTAAATCAGACCAGAAACTAGATTCAGCTCTGGGAAAGCACTAATTTTAATTGTACACATGTAAACCCTTTGTTATGAGTGTCTACAAAAATATTCTTAGACATGATCCTGTTCTGGATATACATTAAAACCTAGATTAACGTTGTACAGTAACATAAAAAAAATCCAACAAGAACATGTTAAATGTTAACAAAACACCACAGAATGACTTCTGTGCTCACAGAACTCACATTCTATCAGATATACTGTTTCATTCATCAACATATTTCCAGCACCTGACACAGTACATAGCACAGAGAGGGCATTCAATAAATACTTCAATGACTGAACAAATTTTTTAAAGCAAGTATAAAACAAAGCAGGTAAAACTGTGAATATAGTACATGAGAATTCTGATTCTCATGCAATAATGGGTGCTTTTGTAGAAATTCTAAGATTACGTAGGTCAAGAATTAGATAATTTCCTCCAAAAATAAATTATCATAATGGGGAAAAATAAAAACATTAGAATTTTATCTGCAAAAGTTAGTGTGTGAGTTTAAGATGAACTTAGTAAGGCAATTCCAAAACTAAAGTTTTGCATATTTACTAAACAATCCATTTCTGACAATACTTCTAATGGAAGAAAATAATTTTGAAGGTGATAACAAACTCCTAAGATAACGTTTAATCAGTTCATCCTTCTTGTCTTTGAATATTCATGTTGGAGAGCTGAATACAGAATCTATTAAACTCAATCATTTTTTGAAAATTATGTGTCCGAAATAGCTATTGGAAAAATAATATTATGATTTTGTCCAAATATGTTATTTCACCCAGCACTGTCAAAATTAACCTGAAAGCTAATTTAATGAAAATGTCTACAAATAATTTCAAAAATAATTGAGCCTTAAATCAAAATAGTCAACAATATTATTGTGTTCTGAATTAGAAAATTCTTAGCACATATTAAAAAAAAAGTGCCTATTTCACTTAGGTCAATGTTGAGAATTATCAAAGTTCTCCATCATTAAAATTCTTTAAAAATCTTGATTCTTAAGTACTATAAAAATAGGTACTAGTCAAATGATAAGTGGTTGGTCTGACCAATTTCACAAAGTTAGGAGGAATGAAAGGGAAGGAAAAACAAACTTATACAGTTAAATTTCAAATCCTAAACATGTAATCCTTTATTTGGGCCTACCTCTAAATTTAAAAAAAAGATACCAGCACTCTTGCATACCAATTGTAAACAATATAAAAATTTCACTGGTATCAATTCTGATCAGTTTAGTGCACCCTTTTCTTACATGGTGAACACATTTTTTCATTAGCATCCACAGAAGAATAATGCAAATCTTACTTCCTTGGTCACCTTTGAACCCAGTGCCAACCGGTCCCAACAATAACCAAAAGTTGTAGCTTTGTGGATGATTGTTTCTAAAGAAAAATTATTTTTCCATTTTTCCAAAATGTCATCGAAGGAAATTTGTCACTGTTCTAGAAGCACAGTTCGAAGCTCATCTTCTTTATTGATCATCATTGAAGCAATTGCTCCATCATTGAATTCAAAAGAAGTTCCTCCATCCACCACCATACAAGCATCCCAACACCGAGAACGAACAGAGACCCTAAGCAGAAACAAACATCTTTTTAAACACTAGTTTTATTAACCTGAAATAATACTCTTAATTAAACTAGCAAATTTAGCTTTTAAAATCAGATTTTAAAAATCAAGTTTCTCTTTGGTGGGAGAGAATTAGTGGTTAGTAAATATATCAGTAAATTATCAAAAATCTCCAAATTTTAATATTCAGGAATACTCCAGACAAAAAGTTCAGGGGATACAGTACCCACAGGCTTTTTTCCCCCAACAGTGGTACCTTGTAGGGGTGTGTGTGCGCTAGGGGTGGGGTGTGCACTGTGGGGGGTCACTTTAGGCCATACCTGGTCCAGCCAGAGGTGCACTGTTTAGGAGACATCAGGACTATACTCAGTGGTGCTCAGAGGCTCAAGGTGCCAGAGATCAAACTCAGTAACTGTATATGCTAATCACATGCTCAACCTTATGAGTCATATCTCTGGACCCTACTCTTAGATTTTTTAAAGATACTTACAAGTATGCAGTTATTTCTATTTTAAATTTGATAGTAACACAAAAGAGACACAAATTATTAAGGTACAGCTTGATGAATGACTTGTGTAGTCATAACCCTCATCAATCAAACACAGAAGCTCCCTTCCCTCACTGACATCCCTCAGTACGATCTCTGGCCCTCTTTCTCAAGCATAAATACTACCATATTTTCAATCACCAGAATAGTAGCTTCTGTGTCTCTCCTTGAACTTTATATAATGGAAGAGGACAATATAACACATGTGCCTGGCTCCTTTGCTCAGCAGTTTGCAGAATTCACCCATGTCATTACATGGAGTGGAAGTAGTAGGAATGCTTTTTTTTTTTTTTTTGGAAGATTTTACTTGGAGGTTTTAAAGGGAAGGAAGGAGAAAAAAGTGGGAGAGAGCAGAGAGTAATGTGCTCAAGAGAGAACCAGGGCTTCTCCAAGGGTGGAGAGAGAGCCCCTACACACATCCCTACATTAGACATGAAAGCATGAAAGTACACATCTTACCAACAATTTACAATTCTGAAGGCTATATGTGAGATCAGAGTATGTACTTCTAATTTACACTCTCCATATGGACAAAAGGTCTAAGGCATTTTTCATATGCTTATCAACCATTTGGATATCCTCTTTAATCAAGTGTCTTTCCAAAATTTTTGGCTATATACTACTTGGTTATCTGTATTTTTTTTATTTATAGATTTTTTTAAAATATTCTGGATATCTTCACTGATTGATACTGCAAATAACTCAATCTATGGCTCACCTTTTATTTTCTTAATGGTGTTTTCATTAGCAAGTTGTCAATTCTAATGTAGAATTTATCAGCCTTTAGTTTTTAAAGTGTTCCTTATGCATTAAGAAATACTTCTGAAATGCTAAGTCATGAATATTCTATTTATGAGACCAAAAATTTAAATGGGTCCTTATAGTCTTATCCCAACTGAATAGAAGCTGTTAATCAAAAATTCATTCTCAAATGAGTAATAATTTTAATAATTTTTAAAATAAAATTTTTCTTTTGAGTGTCTTTCTTGGAAATAATATTTTGACAAAGAGAAAAAACATAAATGCTGTAAGGCAGCAAGCACTAGAATGAAACTGTCCTTGGCTAGATTAAATTTTTCCCCATAATTATGGGAGATTTTCTTGTTGGATTGGAAAAGTGATCAACTTTTACATAATTAAAAACTAGGCATTTATGTATAAATTTCCCTCTCAAAAAAAATAATCTAAGGTAAATTCAACACATAGGAGAGGGTGTTCAATTTTAGGGAAAAGAAATTAGCCACTAAATGAATGTTGCTTTAAAATCAGTTTTTTAAAATAATTTGATCTTATTGTATCTAGGTACATTTAAAACATAGACAAATTCACATCACCCTTAAGAAACTGTGGTCCTGGGCCAGGCAGATTCAAAAGGCCAAAGCCCAGGTTTTGCACTTGGAAAGCCTGGGTTCAATTCCCAGTGGTGCCTGGTTCTCTGCACTGCCAGGAGCAACCCTAGAGCACCAAGTCCTGAAGAGCCCTGAGCACCACCAGGTGTGGCCCCAAACAAGTAAGTAAGTAAGTATGTTCCTTCTGGTCACTTAAATTTTAGTTTCTCGAAAATGAGGAATTGTGTTGAAAACTTTATTCTTCTTTAGATTAGCCTAACACCTCATTAGATTCACAGGATCAATTTTTCACACTGCAAAGAGTGAATTTACTGAAACGGAATTTCTTTTTAATAGCATGTGTGCCTTTTTTCTTTTTTTAAGTAGTTCTCTGTCTTGCCAGTGACGTCCCGAGGCCTCCCCAGCCAGGACTCCATCCAGCAACACTAGAGGCCAGACGGTGCTGGGGGCCAAACCCAGGGTGCTGTGCCTGTGCTCCAGCCCTCAGAGCACTCCCCCACCCCGGGCTGCTTTATGATCAAATGAGACAAAAGCAAACCAGACATTAGAAGCTTACTTTGAGGTGTAACAACGCTGACGACTGCTAGAGAAAACCCTATTTGATATTGGTTCTCGAATACTGAAAAGGATTTTTGGTTCTTCTGGACTGTAGAGCAGCGATTCATTATATTCATTTGTTACTAGGAAGAAAAAGAAAAAGTCACACATTCAATAAAAGAGTACCACTTCTGAAAAGTGCAAAATAGAATTTGGATGCTATCCTCAACTTAAAAGCAGTACTATTCCAAGTCTTTGGATAGCAATCTTCTGGGGACTCATATGTTCTATGTTAAAAAAATAAAGAATCTTACAAGAATTAGGCTCCAAGATCAGTCACTCAATCTAACATAACCCACAGTTCAGCAGAAATGGGTAGATTTGGGAGCCAGGGGGTAGAGGGAACAAATGTAGTAATTAAACAAAAAAAGGGGACTAGTTTGTGATACTCAAAATGCAATTTAATTTGCCATATTCCCTCCCTGCTCTGGGCCAAGTTCTTTTCGAAAATATCATGTCAAAGTGTTGTTAAGTATAAGAATTGTTTTAAATAAAAGATTTCTTAAGTACAATTAGTTAACATTCTTGACATAAATGGATTCTTCACGTGATGACAAGCAATATGCTTTCTCTAATAAAATTTTCATGAGCCAAAAGTTTTTAAAACTCTTTAGACCAGATTTCTCTCTAAACATGAGGAATGGCACACAAAGCACAAAATGGTTAAAGATGAGGATATAAAAAAAATTATAGTTTAGTTGAGTGCTACATTAGAAGACTTTACAAGATGATCTTTACCAGAATGCCATTTGAATTCTGATTTTTTTTTAATCTAGTTTCAGGGGCCTGAGCGAGAGTACAGTTGGTATAGTCAGGCTGGGTTCAATCTCCAGCATCCCACATGGTCTACTGAGCCCTACCAGAAGTGATCTCTGAGACTGGCCCACATCCAAAAGAACAAAAGCAACCTGTGTTGGCATGGATGTGGCAAGAAAGAGACTCCCCCTTCACTGCTGGTGGGAATGCTGACTGGTTCAGCCCTTTTGAAAAACAAAATTTTTTGATTCTCAAAAAATTAGAAATTGAGCTCCCATTTGACCCAGCTATACCACTCCTGGGAATATATACCAGAGAGGCAAAAAAGTACAGTCGAAATGACATTTGCACTTGTATTCTCATACAATAGCCAAAATCTGGAAAAAATCCCACTGCCCGAGAACAGATAACTGGTTAAAGAAACTTTGGTACATCTACACAATGGAGTACTATGCAGCTGTTAGAAAAGATGAAGTCATGAAATTTACATACAAGTGGTACTACATGGAAAGTATCATGCTAAGTGAAATGAGTCAGAAAGAGAGGGACAGACATAAGAAGATTGCATTCATCTGGGGGATATAAAGTAAAGTAACAAAATAGGAGACTAATACCCAAGAATAGCCGAGATAAGTACCATGGATTGGAGGCCAGCCACACATGCTAGGGGAAAAGGCAGTTCAGATAGAGAAGGGAGCACAAAATAAAGGGTGTTGGGAGGATCCTCCCAGGATGAGAGATGCATGCTGAAAGTAGACCATAGACCAAACATGACTGCTACTCAATTCCTCTTTTGCAAACCACAGCACCCAAAAGGAGAGAGAAAATAAAAGGGAATGCCCTGCCACAGGGATGGGGTGGGATGGTGGGGATAGAATGGATACTGGGAGCACTGGAGGTGGAGAATGGGCACTAGTGGAGGGATGGTACTCAATCATTGTATAACTGATACCCAAGCACAAAAAATTGTAAGTCTACAACTGTACCACATGGTGTTTCACTAATAAAAATAAATAAATACATAAATAAATAAATTGAAGATAAAGCTACAAAAAAAAGTGATCTCTGAGTACAGAGGCAGGAGTAGGCCCTGAACACCACACCCAGTGAGGTCCATAAATCAATCAATCAATCAATAAAAATCAAATTCACTCTCAAAAACAAACTTCTCTCTCCAGTAATGTACACACAAACTGTGCAAGCTTGAAGGGAGTACCTTGCAGCAGTATCAAATAGTCACAACACCATCCACTACTGCTTCGGAAGAGAATCAAGTCTGTGAAAGATTAAGTAAAGTATCATGCTTGTTTAGAAAAAAAAATAGGCTTGCTCTTAAAGCCCATGTTCTCTCTTGAACACATATCTTGCTTGCTTGTCTCTATGCTTATTTTAAAATCTAATATAGAGAAGCCCATGTTCTCTTTTGAACACATACTTCTCCCGTTCTCTCCCCTCAGAGAGAGAATTTTGTTCTTTCTAAGAAAATTTTGTTCAGTGAAAACTATCTTGCTCCAAGGGCTGGAGCAATAGCACTGTGAGTAGGGCATTTGCCTTGACACGGCTGACCCAGGTTCGATTCCCAGCATCCCATATGGTCTCCCGTGCACCACCAGAAGTAATTCCTGAGTGCATGAGCAAGGATTAACCCCTGTGCATTGCCAGGTGTGACACAAAAAGCAAAAAAAAAAAAACATGTTTTGCTTCAATTAAAAAGAAATACTATGTTTCATATATACCCTTAAACAGATTGATATACCCAATATCATTTTTTTGTTTTAAATTCTGTAATAATTAACGAATAGAATGACTCTTTCCTTTCTTTGATGCAGATTCAATGTTAATGATAGCTCATGAGCCATAATTAAAATATTTTTTTAGGTCTCAAAAGTTAAAAGAGAGATCAAAGGGATTTCAGAGATTTAGTTGTTTTTAAACAACAAAGTAACCTATCTCTCAATGAAAAAAATTTATGTAGAAAACCAAAATATCTAAATTTACTGGTACATCTGCTCAGGTGGCTATTCCTGTCTTGGTGCTTGGGGCTTGCCCCAGGCACTGCAGGGATCAGCCCATGTGGATGAACTGAGGATGAACCTGGAGTTCTGATATGTAAAATACGCACCCCGTCCTCTGAGTTATTGCCCAAGCCCCAGTTTTGTTCCCTTTTGAAAAACTAATTTACCCTGAATGTCTGTGTACATTTCAGTTACATAGACAGTAAGAATGAAAGTTTCAGTCTAAGGAATATGTATATGTAAAAAGGAGCCTGGTAAAGAGAAGATCTAATATCTTAAATGTTCACACATAAATAAATGTGATTTGCACTTTCAGAATTTGATTTTGGTTACAGGGAGATACGTCAAGGGGCTGGTGCAGAGGCTTCACATCTGGGAGCCCTGGGTTAGATCCTGGCATCACAAGGCCCCCACTCTCTACTGGGAGCGATCCCAAACACCAAGCAAGGATCACACCTGGTTCTGATCGCCCCTTGGACTACACGGAGAGACAGTGGTATCTGGGTGCAAGGCCTGGTATTGTAAGATACATTTTGGAAAGGTGTAAAATTGTATTCCTGAAAAAGGGTTATAAACCAGCATTCCCTCAGTTAAAAAACTACTGCATTGATTAGATAAATATACTTTAAAATAACATACTAGGGGAGAGGCTGAAGCGATAGTATAGCAGGTAGGGTGCTTGCCTTGCATGCACCAGTCCCAGTTTCAGTCCCTGGCCCCCCATCCCAGCCAGAGTGATCCCTGAGCACAGAGCCAGGAACAATCCCTGAGCACCAATGGATATGGCCCCAAAACAAACACAAAAGCACAGTAACATCCAAAAACTTTATACAAAATGCAAATGATTTTGACACTGACCTTTTTCTACCAGTTCTCTATTTAATGGAACAGTTAAATTTCCCTGTCGTTTTGCTATTGAAAGAGGAAAGGGGGGGAAAAAAGATAATTAAATATTTTGAAAAGCTACCAAAATAAAATACAGTAACATATTACAATTATCATATCATAATAATATGTTGGTACTCACCAATATTTAAGACATCTTCCACAGCTTGAGTTGCAACCCTATTGATATTAAATGACCTAGAAACAAACACCACATAAATTAGCTTTTCATTCCAAAAACATACTAGACGTGAAAATGAATTAATCAACTAAATATATAAAGAACTCCTAAGAGTTTATGAGGAATTAACCAGAAGGCAAATAGCCACTGCCCGCAGTTTAACACAGTTGGAGGAGCCCAGGAGAGGCTAAAAGCCGAGTGTGCACATCCCTCATATGCAGAAGCCTCAGCTCCGGCCCTGCCAACAAGTGGTTCCTGGCAGCCCCCGCCCCGCCCAAGAACTGATGGGGACAACCTCTGAGTACCAGGCCAAGAGCAGCTCCCAACTAAAATATAATATAATCAGTGAAGAACATAAACATTTCATAAGCCTGTATTTGGCAGAGGTAGGGGACAGTCTTTGGGGCCACATCTGGTGGCACTTCCTTGGGGGCTCCTCCCAGCTCCCCATGTCCTCAGTTACTAAGCCATGGCTGTAGCCCTATGCTGTGCTTTTAAAATGTTCAAATGTATTTATACCTAAGGAAATGCAAATTAAAGCAAATTTTCTGAAGCTTGTAAGAACTGAAGAGCAAATAATGAACTGGCATGAGTTGCGGAAAACAAGTAGCCTCATACAGGGATGGGACTGGAAAAGTCGTAGTTCTGTAGTTCTACATTACTAAATTTTTATAATGCAGTTGTAATGCAGTTCTGCGTTACTAAATTTTTGTTTTGTTTTATTTTGCTTTTTGGGTCACACCCGGTGATGCACAGGTGGTTCCTCCTGGCTCTGTATTCAGGAATTACTCCAGGCGGTGCTCAGGGGACCATATGGGATGCTGGGGATTGAACCCAGGTTGGCCACGTGCAAGGCAAATGCCTTACACGCTGTGCTATCACCCCAGCCCTGCAGTACTAAAATTTTAAATGAATCTATTTTTCAATTCAGTCACGTATCCTGAAACATTTGCATTTATAACAAAAAACATGTAAGGAGGGGCCAGAAAATAGTAGAGGAGTTAAGGGGCCTGCCTGGGATGGGGTCAACCCCAGTTCGGGCCCCAGCACCACATGATCTGCTGCCTGTCCCTCACAGGGAGTGGCCCTGGAAAAATCCCCAGCACTCCAGGGCCTCAGCAGCTCTGCATCCTCAGACCCGGACGACTGAACCACAGCCCAGTTTGGCTGAGAATCAGCAGGAGCCGCCCCACCTCACCCCCAGGCCTTTGGAGCACCATCTGCGATTCGCCCCCACCCCCGCCAAAAGTGCGAAGTACGAAGGTATTTATTGAAGTATTATTTACACTACTAAATAACTCATACATACATAGGAGGCTGGTTAATAAGCAATAGCTAACCAACAGACTACTACACAAATACTACCATTTGCTAGGTAGTTCAAAGACCAAAGGTAGAGTGGGCAAGATTGTACAACAGGCTGCACCATGGGCTCTGCACACAGGAGGAGAGTTTCCTGGAACTTGGGGTGCGATGGTCCCCCAAGCAATGCACTGCATGTACCTACTGGGAATGGCCCAGAAAACAAACAAAACTAACCATGGGTATAAAAAACAATTATGCACATATGTCTTATTTGTGCCTAGAGATTAGTACTAGAGGTATGAAATGGTAAAAAGGACTAGTTTCATTTTACACCCCCCCTTTTTTTTAAATGTAGGAGTACTGCTATTTATTCAGTCACTGATTAGGCTGATTGAATTGGGCATGAACTCCATCTTACTTTTATTTTTCTTTTTTATTATAGACTTATTTATTGAATCACCATGAGAGCAGTTACAAAGCTTTCAGGTTTAAGTCTCGGTCATACAATGATGAACACCCGTCCTTTCACCAGTGCCCATTTTCCATCACCAAAAACCCCAGTCTACACCCCCCATCCTACACCTTCCCCCTACCTGTGGGGCAGATGATTTACACCTTTTTATACTATTTAAACTTAATTTTTAAACATGCATAAGTATTTCTTTAAATTAGAGTTTGCTTGAAGGTAAGAAATCTTCTTGGGGGGACTTCCCAAGTGGTGCTCAGCATAACCAATGGCCACTCCCACCTATTAGCCAACCAAGCCAGTGGTTCAAATGCAACCCCCACCTGCCACCCGATACTGTTGGGGGCCCCTAGGACCAAGATGCAGGGATTAAACCTTGGTTGACCATGTGCAAGGCAGGCATCTTAATCCCTGTACCATCCCCCTGCCCTGAGAAATCTTTTACCATAATGATGCCTGCCTTAAACACTTAAAAAAAAAATGTAAGCACAAATGAATGTTCTATAAGTAATTCTGTAGTGGGGTCTATATGTTAAAAGAAAGGTGACTCCTTTTCTTCTTAAAAATTCTTCCAGGCAATTAGAAATCTTCTACTGCTTCATAACATAATCTTCTCATTGATTTTTTTTGAAGAGTAGAAGGCAGGGGGTTAGGCCACACCCCACAGTGCTCAGGGTTTACCCCTGACTCTGCACTTAGGGGTCACTTCTGGTGACCATATATGGTACAGGTCAGCTACTTGCATGGCAAGCATCTTACCTTCCTGCAGTAGTTCATTCTCTCTCTCTCTCTTTCTCTCTCTCTCTCTCTCTGTGTGTGTGTGTGTCTCTCTCTCTCTCTCTAATTTCTTAAATGGGCTCAATAGATAATCCCAATGAAAAGGACTTACGAAGCTACACAACTATAAATCAGATTCAGTGGTTCTTAACTTTCCTGAGAAGGGGATAAGTCAGATATTCCACATAACATTATCACCATAAAATTTGCACATTTTTAAGAAATACAAAGACACTATGAATATTCTCTTAAACGCACATATGCACATACTTTTATGTTAAAAATTCGAGATCATTCACGGACCAAATCCCTAATTAAAATCTGTCCCTTGTTGTATTCTACTTTTCACTATTATCTATCCTCCAGTTTCACTTTCTCAGTACTCTAAATCCATTCTTTCTATACCTTTGCTCATCCATGTTATGTGTATAAAGCAAAACATTTTGTGGTTCATAGTTTAATTCAAACTATATGTTAAGGAAACCTGTAGCTGGCATGTGACTTTTTCTCTTAGGTTTACAACTTTTACCATTGTAATAACTCCTATCTGACATCAGATGTAAATTCTACTAAAAACATCTAAACTGAATAATTGAGTCTCACCCTCATCACCTAGTAAAACTTTGGAAGAAACATCTTCTTCACACTTATTTATGTCTGTTAGGACAGTATTGTGGAGAAAGTAGATTTGCACCTTTTTAATAAAAAGAAAACATAATTTTTATAGTATTTTTTTCTCTAGGTACATTTGCAAATCATATTTCATACCAGTAAAAGGAATGAGAGGATTATCACTTCAGAGATACTTGCTATGCATAAAACCCCTACACATTTTGTAGGGGTTTTCACATTTTGAAGCACTATTTGGAATAAGAATTTTCTTTTTTGTTTTATTTCCTTTTTGGGTCACACCTGGCAATGCACAGGGGTTACTCCTGGTTCTGCACTCAAGAATTACTCCTGGTGGTGCTCAGGGGACCATATGGGATGTTGGGAATCAAACCTGGGTCAGCCATGTGCAAGGCAAATGCCCTACCCGTTGTGCTATCACTCCAGCCCTGGAATAAGAATTTTCTTAATGCAAAGAATGAAAAGCTATTCATTTTCCCCTGGGATACATAATTAATGCTGATTTTTCATCCCCTCTTATCATATAGTCAAGTAACAACTCTCATTCTAACCAAAGGAATTACTGTCAATCCCTGTCACCATAAAAAAAAAAAAAAAGGAACCAGCGAACAACATCAACAACACTGTTAAGCCTGACTGGTTAACTTCCCACAGGTGAGCCTCCTTTCCTCCTTGCCTGCTCTAACTTGGAATGACACAGTAACTTTGGAAGCATGTTTAAAAGATGACTGACAGGCTACAACCGAATATGGAAGAAGCCTCACTCCCAGAATCAACATTGGGAGGAAAGTAGTCTTCCTATTAGGAAAACTTGCTGAGAGAGAAGTCACAAGAACAAAAACTTTAGTGGCAAACTAGCCTTAAGCCATTAAAACTGAGAATTGAGCAGCTTCATTTCATATTCAAAGCAAGGGTTCAGAAGGTGAGAAAAACAAGCTTTTACATATATAACAAAAATTCAAAGAGTTAAAGAAACAGACTCTTCCAATTTTCCTCTCTCCAGTGTTTCTTTAAAGGGATTACAGTCTAAGAATCTAGAGTCAAATTCAGAATTTAAATACTACCATCACCATTTACTAGCCACATGGCTTTGAGCAAATCAGTTGACTTCTGATTTTTTTATACTCAATTGAAAACTTCTGTACTCAATTTTTATACTCAATTTGTATGCAAAAAATTTTATACTCTATACTCAAATTTTTTATAGTCAAATGCAACAGAGAACTGTGTGACAGGAGAAGCAGGGACTATTTTACAAGCATTTAACTTTTTATTCTTTATTCTTTGCTCATTACTAAAAGACTGAAAACTATATCAAAATTAAACACACATCCCCCCAGAGCCGAGGTTTAGGCCTATTAGCTTAAGCACTATTAGCATCAATACTATTTCATATAGATTAGCCGGTTTATTTTGATAATTCTTCAATTCAACCTCAACTTACAAATTATGTGACTTTTCAAATAGTTTGCCCACTCTTATTTGTGGGGTGCTGGATACTGACTCTGTTTTAGGCTTCATAAGTGAATTGGCCCTTTTCCTCCCCCCAGAGAAGCACACAGTGCTCTTGCAAGCCCCCCTAATTTCCTGAGTTTATCTTTAACCTTTCCTGTGTAATAGTTACTAGGTCAAAACCCTCTGGTGACTCTGGACTTTGTATTTGAAGTGAATTACTTGCTTTTCTGTTTACCCTATAGCCTTTTCATATTTTACTATAGAGCAATGTTCTTTGTTTAAACACAGAAAGACCTTTAATGCTGTGCTCCTAATATTTGGGAGCTGACTGACTCTAAGATATATCTACTCATGGGCATCCATCATAATTACTTAACTCAGGCT